AGGAGGGGCCTCGGCCGGGGCCCGGGAGACCCAGGACAGGTGGGCCTGGGGCCAGGTCCCTAGGGAGGGGTGGCCGGGCCGGGCTCTGGCTTCCCGGGGTAGGGGCTCTGCTAGGGGCTGGAGTCCGTCCCTTCGCCAGCGCAGAGCCCCTCGGCCCTCGGCCCGCATCTGCCAAGTGGCTGAGGATCGAGCGACAGCGTAGTGGGGCGGAGGGGCTGGAGGCACGGCCGGAAAGGGTGAGCGGCGCCGCGGCTCCTCAGCTATTTGGCCCCGCCACGCGCGGAGAGGGGGGAAATTCTCAGGCTGCGGCTGCAGCTAAGGGAGGCCCAGGTGGGCCTGGAATGGTCCCGGAGAGGGCTTCCTGGGTCAGACGTGTCGATCCAGTGGAAGTAAAAACCGGGTGAGTGTCCCGGTGGGACCCGGAGTGCGGGGAACCTTGGAGGCAGGGGCATGTGCTGAGGACCCCCAGGGCACCCTCTGCGCGACCTGTCAGTGCTCCCAGGGGTGGGGGTGTCCTGTGTGTGGCTGTGGGGATCCTGGGAGGCGGCTGCTGTGTGGGGGCAGGGGTGGGAGTGCAGAGTTCAATGCTTTCCCGGATCAGTGGGGGCTGCGGTGTCACCAGGGCAGTCCGAGCGCCCGACTGTCACGGGGACATTACATTTTATGCCTTTGTCTAGACAGGGCAGTAAACGGAGCCCCAGGCCTGGGGCTGTGGAGGGGGTGAGGGACTGGCTGGGAGTGAGCCTGCCAGTGACTTTGGGGTGGGTGCGGGCCTCCATCGTCACCCAGGTGTGCGCAGGCCCAGGTGTGGGGACTCCGACAGCACGGCAATGACGACCAGTGCCAGGTGTGTGACAGAGGTGCAGGGGCCTGTGGAAGCGCGACGGGCCTTGGTGGACGGGCTTCTCGAGATTCGAGGGCAGCCACAGGCAGCGCCCTGGCGCACAGGAGCAGAGTAGGGTGGCTGTGCCGGGGCAGATGGTGGGGGACAACACCTCACCAAGGCAATGCGGAGCCATGGGGAGCAGGGCAGGCCGTGGCCACGCGCCCAGGATGGTGGACAGGAGGGGAGACCGAGCCTGCCAGTGCAGGGAGGAGGGGCGTGGGGGCTGCCAGGCAGGGGCGGGGAGGCTCGGAGAGGCTTGTGGGACGGATGCATCGGGACCTGGGTGACTCTCGGTCCGGGATCAGAAAGCCTGGGAGGGCCGGGGCCTCCTTGGGCACTCCGAGAGCGAAGGGGCAGGCCCGCCTCCCTGCCCAGCGCGGCGTCAGGGAGAGGGTAC